CCTCTAGTAATATATTTACTGAGAAAAATGTTGACGTGTTCAATACTTATTTTACCCGCTGTATATAAACATATACAGTATATTGCCAAGTGCTGAATGATTGAGAATCTACACCAGCTTCAAAGCTGCTTTTTTAAAACAAATTGAATTTTACTGACCAAAAAGACAGCAATACCAGCCCCGATTGCTTGTCCGGCTAGAACGTCACTCCAGTGATTACGGTTTTCAGCCACTCTGTTGATGCCTGTCAGTACAGCYAGACTGACCAATGACAGACTGACAAAGGGGCCTAAGAGATGGGTCCCAAAGGACCTGGTGCAGGACATGATGTACATCTGAAATAAAAACAGTAAATTCACAACTGTTTAGAAATTAAAAGTATGTATTTGATAAAACAAACTGAATTATGTAAAAAAAATCACTCACTGCCAAATAAACAGCTGTGTACAAGCTGAGAGCTGCTTCTTTGGAAGGGAATGTTTTTCTGGCTCTCATGATGTCATCAGGGTCACCTGTACAGGCRTCTGACTGCCAGACAAAGCGTACTGTGTCCTGACAGTCGACTGCAGAGTCATTTAGCTGACAGACAGACAGGAAGTAAGGAGCCAGACTTCCTGTGACCAGCTGACCGGCACTGACAAAAACATCAGTTGTGAACAGACCGAAGACGTAGACCCCTGTGTAAAAAAACTTACATAGATTAGATTGTCACAATTCAAATGGACATATTCAAAAGCTCATTTCACTTTAAAAAAATCTCATTAAAATTAAGCATCCATGTCAGTATGTAGGTAATAACTGTTAGAATATAGTCTCAAATCTCAGTAAAACTTTACAAATTCCTCTTATTGGGCTATTTTTACTGTGATTACCAAGAAACCGTGACGTCCTGCGCGCCATAGGGTTCAAATAGCAACAATCCCACATGACAACAATCTTCTCATAGTCATACAGGTTACTTGAGTGAGACTGAAGGAGGAATATCAACACTTCCACTCCTGAAATCTGCAACAAAAAAAAAAGGGCAATTCAAGGCATGCTAAATAARAGAGAACATAAAGGTAAAATAACACTTGTGCCTATAGAAACATGATAGTTGAACTGCTGGAGTAAAGTTGTTATTCATAACTTTAATAGTTTTAATTTCAGATTTTCCAAATGCTTGATGACTTTATGTTTACACATCAGGCAGACAAAGTAGTTATAAATCCAGTAACGTGCAACTTTTTTGCCTTSTTCAATCTCCACTAACTGCTAGGAAATCAGTTTTCACTTTCACAAATAAAGAAAAAAAACATGCCTTCTTACTCAAAATTTATGCCTCTAAGCCAACAGAGTTAAACTTTTTGTCCCAGAATGTGTCTCAAAAAGAGAAAAATGCAYCCCATCAACTCAACACAAAAAGAAAACATTTAACCAACTCAATCGTTCACATTTTCTCCACCAGAAAAAAAAAAGTCCAAAAAGAACTGTTATAGTTCAGAAAATATCCTTTTTTTTAGTACAATATGCTAATCAATATGTAGGCATGAAATGCCATAATACTTTGAATGGATTGTTCAAAAAAGATTTTCTCAGAATGCAGGATAAGACTTAACACTGGATGAAAATGTTGCACTCTCCATGACTTATAAGATTTTTTTTTTTTGGACTGCAGCAAAGTTGTAAAGCCTCCTTTAATGTGGAAATCATGACACTACACATTTCCTTAATTTTCCTTAATATTACCATGAAGACCCCACCAAGAGCCTGCAAACAGCWTCTACCCTCACTGACTGTGAGGGAGGCCTAAGCTCACATTTCTATCACTTAATTCAAGTGAGGTAAGGCAACACAACATACTGTGTATTTGGATTGTGTGAGGAAACCAACTGGGAGAAAACTTGCAAACAAAAGAATATGCAAACTCCACACAGAAAGACCCCAAGTCCAAACCTCGAATTGGACCCAGGACCTTTTTGCTGCAAGGGCCAGTGCTAAAAAAACAGGCTATAAACCAGGTATAAATAAGGCACCAAGCTGCCAAAAATCTAATTTTAGAGTTGATGGGTTTTTTTTATAGAACAGCACAAAATGAACGTATCATAATGAATTGTGCATTGCATCATATTATAGGTTAATCTAGTAGCAGCTAATAACACAAAGTTAGCATCACTGCATTTAATGTCATGAGTCACACAAAGATTATTAAATGTGTTAACTTACTAGCACCACTGGCATTCCGCTCACCACAGAGTACAGAATTACAGGCTGTACGCGGCTGTCCTGCTCAGGTCCAGGGTCAGGTTTACTCAAAGCTGGGTCATTGCAGATGAAGCCCTGCTGTGACGGACTGAAAATATCAGTGAACTCACAGTAGTAAACTAGCATCAACGTCGCTGTCAGAATCACCACCTGAAAGTACAGCATGGTCGGCCGTCAGCAGCTGGGAAAAAGAAAAATTGGTCCTTACAAGTCCTGTTGAGACAAAGATTTCCTGGTGTATGTGTCTTGCTGACCTTACGTATCATCACCTATGTAACGGTTTATAGGAAGTTATGCAGATCCTTTATAAAGACAGTCAGCCTGTGTTGCCTCTGAGAGGAAACCCTGTTCTTCCACTCCCATGACTGCCTGCCATCATATATATGTGGTGGTCCAGGGCATTCCTTCTGTTTCACTGAACAATCTCTAAAGAGCCACTTACAGCCTACTGGACACAAACTCCTTTTACAAAAGAGTACAACAAGAAAAGAAGCCAAATTTAGAAACAAAATTAATGGCAGAGACTTTATAGCTGATCAACCTAACACAGAGTCAGAAAACATGCACACTCAAAGCTACACCAATTAAAGCCAATAAAGAAAATAAACAATAAGAAAAGAATTCAGTTAGCAAAAAAAAAAAAAAAAGACAAATATTTGAGTATTTGGATATAGGATGACAGAATATTCCATTTACAACCAGTATGACTGAAATAACAGCATCATGTTATCCTGAACTATATTAAAGTGCAGTTTAGGAGTTTACTACAGCAAATCTTCCTGATATATTAATTTGCAGTACTGGAATGCAGGTATGCACTCWATGTAAATATATATAATACCTGCATATTTCTCTCAACAGATTTGAGTGTAAATATGTTCCAGTAGATCAAAAATGCCAGAAGAGATGTGATGTTCACAAACGAACAGAGTCTTTTGAATAGATCCTTAAAACAAATTATAGGAACTTAGTTACGGGCAGTAAAGAGAATTTCCTACTTTTATTCTTTTTTTTTCCTCCTTAACCACAGAGATAATCCTCCCTCCTTCACTTTTTCATAAAAAAAACAGGCAGAAAGGTTGAATACAACAGCTCAGAGACAAGAGGGAGGGGGTTCTAACCTGACCATTGCCTTCCTGCACAATTCAGCTCAGTTTTAATCTCCCTACAGCGTAAAACAAGGGTCTGGTTTTTACCAGGCTATAGCTCCTTCCCTGTGACAAAATTATGAATGATATCAAGTCATTCACTCAAAATCAAACACATATGAAACAAACAGCTCATCAAGATTCAGATCCCTTCAAAGAGCCACTCTAATTCCAAACAGCTCTTCCATAGACATCAACACTGCTGACCTGTTTTCATTCACTTCGGCTGATTCTGTAGGAAATTAAACTCTGGTGGTAGTTGACAGCCAGTCACAAATATTGCTTACAAATCWATAATTTAGAGAATGTATCCGGCGGTCTATCTAATCTATGGTCTTTGTGACATTGCAATGAGTACGTTTAACGGGGCAATATCAGGCATATATTTAAATTCTACACCATAATAAAGTATTTGTCATCTTCAGTTTTTATTAATATGCTGTTTTTATGTTTAAATAGAAAATAAACGACTTCTCATCATATCTGTTTCTAAACACCTTGATTTAAGAACCTCTTTCAGCTTTTGTCCCACCCATTTCAGCACAGGTGTGTGTGTGAGTGTGTGTGCTCTCCGTGATGAGGAAGCTCAGCTTGGAGACACAGCCCAGAGGCGGAGCTGATCCCAAACTGTGGTTCTAGTCCCAACCAGTCGTTTTTGCTCCCCTGCCTGGCTGCCTCAGGACACTACAGGATTTCTCAAACATGCATGAATGAGTGAAAGTAAGACTCTGGGCATGTTTTTGATGAGAGGATAACATTATAACATGATATAAAACTCAAAAGAGTTGATTTTACATGATATAGTCCCTTTAACATTTCACTATACAAACTCATTTTTAGACTTTTTGCTGCACCTGACACAATTTCCAGAAAGCTACACTATGTAGATTCTTATATTATGCAATAGACATAAGAGMTGAGGTTATACTGTACAACGTACTGAAAAATATTTGTCATTCCACTGAGACAGAATGGACCAGTGGATGGGTCATTCATGTACCACTTAACACCAGTTTAGAATATAGAAACAAACATGTAGATCAATAAACATTTTATTAACAACCAACAAGACCAGATTCAAGAACATGGTTCATTTTGCAAAGAGCAGGTAGACAACAGGTTCTGAAGATGTCCTTAAAACACAAAGTGGAATCAGTYACAGCCTCCTCTCAGTTCTTTGGCAGCTCTCAACCCAAAACCAAAGCGCGGGCAGAGTTACAAGTTTATGTGAACAGACTGACGCAGTCATCGAGCTCCAGCGGGCTGCTGTTGCCGCCGTCGTGGTTACCATCAGTTTCACGTTGCTGTTTCCTCCTCCGCCGTTGATACGCTTTCGTCTTGTTCCTCTCCTCCTTCTCCCCCTCTTCTCTTTCTGCCCTTTCTGCCTCCTGCGTGTGTTGGGGATCTTGTATTTCCTGTGAGCAGGACAAGTCTGGGGGGTGAGGTCTCTCTGCTGACAAGGCTGACTGGAGGTTCTGGTAGAATCTGGACCAAACGTTTCAGGACTTAAATGAATGAGAGGTTGTTTCACATGAATTGCATCATTCTCAGCTCAGRCTGACCTGTGTATTCGTCTGAGGTTCTCGTCCATCTTCTGATTGGCTACCTGTGTTAAGAAGTGGATGTACTCGTGAGCAACAAGAAGCTTTCCACTGTGGCTCAAAGGAACCTCCAGACTGTGTGTGCTGCGGACCGCCTGCGGGTACACAAAAGACCAGAGACGTTTTCAGCCAAATAACAGGCAACGTTCAAACTGATACTGACTTTAAAAGGGATCCCTGATTAGTTGTAACATTAGACTTTATTTGACAAACTTATATTTTAACTGTAAAATAAAGACTGTAAAAATACAGAAGGCTGTTTAGTTTTTATAATTTTTAAACTAAAATTTTAAAAATATATTACATGGACGGGGACATTTTATTTACACACAAAGCATTCTGGGTAAATGATGACGTGGATAGGTCCTCGGTGCGAGGCTGCTAGCGAGCTATATCCACCCTGAAGGTTAATCTTGGACGATATCTGATGATCGACTCTTTTAAATGAAACCAGAGAGCGTTGACAGAGAGGGGAAAGCAGAAATGACTCAGCCTGTAACTGAAAATATGGATGGAGGACAACAGAGCTGCTTCATGGAAGAAGAACCTCAGTTTAGCCTGTTAGCTATAGCCCCAACGCTACCACCATATATACAGTATGTATTAGCTCAGTGCTACACATTGTCCTCTCGTCACTGAGGTCCTCCATCCACATGACAGAGAGGGGAATGCAGAAATGACTCAGGCTGTAACTGAAAATATGGATGGAGGACCTCAGTTTAGCTTGTTTGTCGCACTAGTGCTGAGCTAATACATATAAGATAATATAGCGTCGGGGCTAACGCTAAAGCTAACAGGTTAAGCTGAGGTTCTTCTTCCAGGAAGCAGCTCTGTTGTCCTCCATCCATATTTTCAGTTACAGGCTGAGTCATTTCTACCTTCTCCTCTCTGTCAACGCTCTCTGGTTTCATTTAAAAGAGCCAATCGTCAGGTATTGTCCAAGATTAACCTTCAGAGTTGATATAGCTCGCTCACACAGAGGACCTACCCACGCCATCATTTACCCAGAATGCTTTGTGAGTAAATAAAATGGCTCTGTCCGTGTTAAAATATATTTTCAAAAATTTACAAAACYRAACAGCCTACARTATTTTTACAGTCTTTATTTTACAGTTAAAATAAATGTTTATCAAATAAAGTCTAATGTTACAACTAATCGGGGATCCCTTTAAAGCATGACACTTGACAGGTACTAAAAATAAAAGGCATGTTCTGTAAGTTGTGAACGTCTTATCCAAAGATAACCTGCAACATGATTGATCCAAGAATCCTAAATGCAGGAGGTACATAGTGAAGTTGTGTTTTATAAATGATCTTAAAGATGTTTAACTGCAATGGACTCGTCAGCCACCGGGAATAAAGGAGGACCCAATGATAAAACCCAGACCAGTGGTCAGTTCGTATGTTGTGTTTTGGGRTTTAAAAGTCACTGGGATGTCRTATTTTAGAGAATAAACATCTCAGTTTTACAGGAGAGACTGGTTCATCCCAAAGATTACACAAAGAGTGATATTGTGTACGTTAGGTGCCAGGAGGACTGTGACCAGTTAAACATCGGGGAACCAAAGCAGCCACTGATCAAAAGGATGGCCCAGCACAGAAGAACAACATCATCAGGTCAGGACTCTGCCGTTTACACTCATCTACAGGCCAGTCACTCTTTCAGGGATGAAGATGTTCTCATCTATGGTAGAGAGGAACGCTGGTTTGAGAGAGGAGTGAAGGAAGCCATTTTTGTGAGAAGCTGTCTGTCATTAAACAGGGGTGGAGGCTGTGTCCAGTTGTTCCCCTCTTGCAATGAAGTTACGAGTATGACTCGGTCCTCTGCTAACAATAGGTGAWAATCAGGACACTGAAGATGTCTAGGCTATGTTCCTGATGGCCCTCTATGAACAGTAGGGACAATCAGGGCACCAACAATCAATCAATAGGCTGAGGGTCCTTTGTTGCATGTGGAAAAACAGTTTTGATTGTCATAATTAAACTTRTTTGTMCACYATGTGGAGGCACTGCTTRTAAGCCTGAGTTTACCTGAAAATGTATATTGTCACATTGACAGCGCCATTTCATTTACCCAGTGTGCTTTGCAGCATTAATGAAATGGTGCTGTTGGTGTGACAATAYAATTTTCTTTAATTTATACAAACTGAACAGCCTACAGTATTTTTACAGTCTTTGCTTTACAGTTGATGTAAATGTTTATCAAATAATGTCTAATATTACAAGTAAATAGGGATCTCTTTTTAGAA